GCCTCCTCCATGCCACCACACCACGACTGGAATTTCCTTTCTGGCTTCTTGAGCATTCACCCTGGACCACGCTTCCGTGGTAGGCAGAAGCACGTCCAACTCGATGTGCGAATCTGGTTTGCCTGAGCCGTTGGAAGCTACGCTAAACTCAAAGCTGTGCGTGACTGGCATTGCGGCGAGATGCGGCAAGAGGTGCGAGGTCCGGGATCTGGTGAGAGGAGCAAGTGGTGAGCGATGCAAGGATGGGCTGCTTTGCTCAAGAGTTGCGGTGGTCGATGGCGCAGTGTCGCTAAGTTGTGGTCACAGTGCTGCTTTAAGTAGCCCGTCGTGGCTCCTCCAATGTTCGAACGCTCCGGTGCGCTCCACTCGCAAGACTGAATTGGCTGATATCACTTCACCGTGTCTGGACAAGAAGAATCCACTGCGCGCGTTGATGTGCTGGTTGCGATGCGATTGAATCCTTTGTGGACACGGGTTGCAGCTACCCACCCATCTACAGTACCTCGTGGTGCTCGGTCTTAAGGCAGTTGAAGGATGATTACTTTGCAGGTGGAGGCGCCGATGGGAACGTGGTTGCGCAACATGGGTGGGGAGAGGTGGATGAGAGTGGCGAGTGAAGGGCGTCAAGGCAGGCAGCCATCGTGACGAATGTCGAGATTGACGATGGCCGTGTGATTGCACAAGATGACTCGCTCAGCACGTCTGCTGCAGCGCTCCACCTCGAAGCCGCCTGCCTGCCTGCCTGCCTGCCTGCCTGCCTGCCTGCCTCTCACGAGTCCAAAACGTCGCGATGAGATCGCACAAGGAAATCAGGATGAGCTGCATCCTCAGACTGTATATGCGCACGGCCGTGCTTGCTGCTTTGCGCACGGACGCACCGCACCGCACCGCACCCTACGCTTCTCCCTACCCAACAAAGCTAGGCTTAAGCCCGAGCTCGATGCAATTGGGCGTCTGCTGCGCACTCGCAAACGCAGCGCTAGTCAGATGCAACCTCGTGCAATCTCGGGATTTGCATGCAGGAACGCCCGCAAGTCAAAAGTCAAAGTGGAGTCGAGTGGTAAGTGTGATGAGGTGGGTGAGTGCACGAGGGGCCAGAGCGCAAGCAACGCACATCTGTCTGCCTATCACGACCTCGATCATGGAGGCTGTCGCAAGTCACCATGCAGTCTGGCAGACACTTTGCCGCTCCTCAACGTCGATCAAGGTGGCACATTAGCGTGGCAATCTGACGGCGTCATAGGCTTACTTTGCATAGAAAGAAGGCCAAGTGGACGTGCTGCTGAGCACCCACTCTGCTGAGCGCTGCGCACACGCCCACACAGGCAACGAGGGCAAAGATGCCGGGTCAAGAGTCTACTAATCGTCTCAAAATGCTGCTGCCCACGGCAACTTGGATGGACATTCTAGGCTGGTTGGCTCATCCCAGTCTAGAGAAGGATGATCAGATGAGAGGGTGAGAGGGTGCGAGCGCGATCTTCCGTTCGAGTCCATTCGCACCGCGAGAGGCAAGCTCACGCAAGTCTCTCCTATTTTATGCGCTGGGGGGGACGCACCAGGTGGGAGCACATTCACGACACTGTGCGATTTGTGTCGAAGGATCTCTATCTGGGTGAGTTGTGCACCGATGCAAAACTGTCGATTGCCCGCCGAGCAGCGTCGAGCGGGTCAAGCTGAGGCTATTCTTCATCCAATACCCTCCACGCATAGCAGTATCGATGCACCTCTTGCGATCTCGATACCTCGACTCTTACGAACGTCTAGTCAGGCCTCCTTACACTAGCGATCCATACCCCGTGACTTCCTTCTCCACAGGTCTCTCCGCTTCTAGCTCTCTCTCGCAAGCTCCTCCCGCCTACAGCGCATCCAGTCTCCCTTCAACCGCAACATCGTCTGCACACATTTCTTCCCAAAGCATCTTTGCATCTCCATCTCGAAGAGAAGCGCACACTTTGGACTTGTACGTCGCTGCTGCTCTCAAGAGGGAGTTGGAAGATGCAGAGAGCGACATGATGATAGCGGACACATCGATGCAGGACATTTTCACCATTCTACAGCCTCAAAGCAGGTTGGAAGACTTGGTGATGGACTACGGCGTTCGAGCCAAAGTTTTGCGACGCGATGCATTGCAGACCCTCGACAGCAGGCTTGCTCATCGACCAACAGACGAGAAACGATCACAAGCGAGTGCTTCTTCCGAGCTGACCGAGCACGTGCATCTTGTCAGACCATCGAGCATACAATGCACCTTTACACCTCGTAAAGCTACGCTGCGCTTACCCTTTGCCTTCGGGTCCCTTCCACCCGACTCATCCTTCGCAGCGCCTAGCATAGCGCGCAGAAACGTCATCGAAGTCGAAAGGAGTGTTCAGGAGCCTTTGGAAGATACCGCAAAGGCGCTCTTGAGGGGCCTTAGAAGGCTACATTGCAAGCGTCATGCCAGAGCTGGTGTGGAGTGGTACGAGATCATTGCTTCGTAAGCCTGCATATCTTACCCTCCCTCCAGCACTTTCCATCTTGGCACGCAGCATTTCGACCCATCACTCGGGCATCCTGAAATACGCTTGTTGCATTACGTTGCTCGCATCACTCTCTGTAATCTACCCTGCGACAATCTTTCTCACCTTTTACTGCGCTTTCAAGTTCTTCTCGAGCGTATCGCACTGCTCAAGTACCGCCCTCTTGCTAGTCCCTCCAATTGCATCTCTCCTCTCCACACTCTCATCAAAGCTCCAAACCTTGGCCACGTCTTCTTCAAAAGCAGGATGCAGAGTCTTGAAATCTTCCAAGGTCAAATCGGACAATTTGCATTTGCGCTCCTCGGAGAGCCTGACTGCTGATCCGGAAACGTGATGCGTCTCGCGAAAAGGGATCTGAGATGATCGATGCAGGAGTGATCAGTAGCCAGAGAGCAGACGCGCTTGAACGAGCCGAGCGTGACTCACGCCTTTGCGGACCAAGTACTCGGCCAGGTCCGTCGCGAGCATGTCCGGCGTCAATGCAGCACGCATCTTGGCAGGATGAATCTGCCGAACGATGTACAAAGAACGCTGAGCGCAAAGTTCCGAAGAATGCCATACTGATCGCACTCACCTCGAGCGTAGAGATGACACCTGTAGCGATCTGTGTGCCGCGTCCGATGGTGTCCACAGCATCGAAGAGAGGTTCCTTGTCCTCTTGCAGATCCTTGTTGTACGTCGACGGAATGCCCTTGAGCGTCATCATGAACCCTGCCATTTGACCAAAGATGCGTCCGCTCTTGCCTCGAAGAAGTTCCAGGCTATCTGGATTCTTCTTTTGGGGCATGATGGAAGAGCCCGTGCTGATGTAGGAGATGATGCTTCGTTCTTCAGCTTGGCTGCGTCTCCTCATCTCGCGCAAATTGCACCAGCCCCCCCCAGCCCCCCCCC